TAATGACGACCAGTCGCGCTGTCCTGATACACCGCGAATGTGCGAGTGTTCCCTGTAGACAGTCCCGGGAGTCATTTTTTTCGCACATTCCAGGAGCCAAACCAAAATACGTTCATGAACCGAGTCCAAAAAACCGAAACGTGAAAATCGGATGATCGGACCTGATGTACATTTCTCTTTCTATAGATTGTACACACAATACACACATCTTTAGATAATCTGGCCATGGCAGGTTAAAAAAAAAGTAACCCTGAATCATACTAGATTAGCGTAAATGCATGTTAATGCGTTCAAAACAAGAAAAAATTGTTTCCGGGTATTAATCTCTTGAATCACGGCGCTGAATATTGACGCAAAAATATTTCGGGCATCGCGCGCCCTTCCCGCGTCACGTGTAGGCATCTCGCATCTCTGATTGGTTGTTGCGTCTTAAGATGACTGAGCCGACGCGCGTTTAAACAATTTTTCTTTGTTCGATTTATCACACTTCACAGAGAATTGTCGCCAATGGCTACTTCTTTTTGTTGCAATATATAATACTTCACGGAGAATTGTCACCTATGGCTTCTTGTTAAGTTTACGGTTGCCAAGTGTGACATATTTAGGTTGCCACAGGGATGTTTGGCTGCCAACAGCTTGAAAAGAAGAATTGTAGTCAACATTTGTTCTCATGCAGACCAGAAAATGTCTCCATTCACGATCAAAATGTCTTTATTTTCGAGATAAAAACAGTGACCGCTGTGTCTGTTAAGCCTTGGACATAACCCACCTTGTCCGTACGTTTTTGGGAGGCTACGTCTGCTACGTTTTTTCTGAAAACGTGGGGAAGGAGTGGCGTCGACGCACGTCACTCGCACGGTTGCGCAAGGTGTAAGAGTGTGGTCTGCACGCCACGTCTGGCCGTGAGCGGTTGCGTGCATCGCACTTTGTGCAAGTGGTAAGTGAGTTGTACGTGCTTACAACGTACGCTGTGCGATTGCAACTTTATCGTAAGGAGGCCGTACTCACACGTGCGTCTTCCGTACGGTACGTACCGGGCACGCGCGTCGCCCGTACTCGCACGCACGGGTGGTGAATCCGTAGACCGCACGCAGAAAAAGTTTTACATGCACTTAAAGTTCTATGGCGTGTCTGCGTGCTCCCAAATCCGTAGGATTCCGTACGGAGGTGGTACTCACCACGCACGGATGCCCTGCGTTTGCCCACGTTTTTGCATGTACACGGCGGTC